GTGTCCTGGTGAGATCTTTTGGCTCTGCTCTCTCTGACACAAAGCAAAACCTCTGGGGACCTCATCCTGCCCCGCAGGAGTCCCCGACAGCCTTCCCAGGGCTTCAGCCGGGGCAGGACAAAGCCGGCAGCCGTGTTTTGCCGAGCTGTCCTGCGTTTTGTGCGGCCCCGGCTACTGCCTGCCCCGGCCGGGGGTTCTGCAGGGCAGAGGAGATGGAGCCAGGTGTTAACGGCAACGCAACTCTTGTCCTCGTACCAAATAGTACAGCAATAGCGAGTGCTACCGTTTCTGTGCCTGACACCGCCTTCTTGCTGAAATGAAGCGTTGGGTTGTTTTTAGGAGTTGCTGTTTGTGCTGCAGTGCTACAAGAGCCCAGACCTGTGCTCCCAGCGGGCACCGTGCAAACACAGCGTGCAAAGCCGCCGTGCTCAGACAGCTTCCGTGGGACCTCGGGAAACTGCCTGGAAACCTGGTGCACAGCCATTTGGTAGAGATGCATCACAAAGACTAGGGAGGAGAATGATTGCGGTTAAAATCTCGAGCGTGGAGGGCCTTCTGTGTCCTCTGAGAGCAAGGTGCAACCTCTCCGGCTCTGCACCTGCTGCTTCGCTATCCCAGATGGTGGGGAGCACTGATACTGTCTGCTAAGCTGAGTTTACTTTGACTGCTGCTGTTAGGTGTAATTAGGATAGTACATAGTAAACTGAGGAAATCATCTTTAAATGCTTCCGTGGACCTGAGGGATGTTGAAAATTGCAGATTTGTTGTAACATGAGGGTTAATGGATTCTGGTTGCCGCAGTTTCGTGTTTAATCTTTACTTTGACTATCTGATTGATGTCAGTGGATTAGCTAGAAGCTGGTTTCTGAAGGATGCTCTAAGGAAAGTAGAGCACAGCAGCCCTTGAGGGTAGGGGGTCTGCACAGAGCCTCGGTCCAAGATGTGGGGTCAACAGGGAGGGTTTCTGAAGGAGCCACTGGCATATCTTGAACCAGAAGAAATTAGAAACGAGTGTCTAACTGCAGATTGCGCTTAGGAAACTTCCCCGGGTGTGCTGTTTATGCAAAATATTTAAACATCCAGTGAGGGCTGTGTGTGGCCAAGGAGGGTGGCTGCCGGGCAGGAGGGAGACAAGTGCTTTGTTTTGGTTTTAAAAGGTGGAATCACGTATTGAGAGCAGCCCTGGACTGTGCGTCTCATCAAAGACTGTGAAATTAATAACATATGCAAATATATGCAAATTCAGCCTTTAAATATAGAGGTTTTAAACATGCTAATTAGATGCATATTGATTTTTGTAAACAGACACATTGTCTGATCCGTAGCAATAGGTTCTCCATTCTTTTGATACAGGGAAGGGTTTGTGGGAGGTTTGCTGATGAAGAGTTCGGAGACAGGAGCTGGAAGCGGTGCGGGACACGGGAGCGTTGTGTCCTGGACAGAGCAGAGAGGCTGGGCCTCTTCCTGGGGACGGGGGTGAGAAGTGACTGAACAGGAGCGTGAATGGGGAATGATACCGAGCAGGAAAATTACCCTTCGTTATACCAGGGAGGTGCTAATGAAATGGAAAGGCAACAACATTTCTAAAATCATAAAAGAAGCTGTATTTTAAAATTCTTTTGTACTAGAAGTCTACTAAATCTGTGGAACTGCCTGCCCTGATATGGCAAAAGAGGCTTACAGGTTTATGTTAATAAAGCAAACAAACACAAGCACATTCAGTTTGGTAAAGCAGCACAAAGGATATAACACAGGCTGTAGCTAGGGCAGAAGGAAACAAATTTCCCTTGTGGATAGCTCATCTTTGATTTTCACTACGGGGTTTGCATCAGCTCTGCAACCACTCCGAGATACAGGTCCGAAAGAGGACAGGGCAGGGGAATCTGGTGGTTGTGAGCAAGCCCGCGCCAAGAGACCAGCCTGCCTTTGGGTAATGGACCAAAAGTAATTTCATTAATGACAGGGGTTTAATGCTGTGGCTCCCACCGACTGGTTGGATCCCTGCGGCACACCAGGCAGCAAAAGGGATCTGAGTGTGGGGAGGGCGTCTTTTTGCATGGCAGCAGATGTGGTGCGATGGCAGTTGGGTGGGTGGCACCGGCGTCCCCTTACCTGGCTATGACAAAGAGCACGCAGCTGACCCCCAGGTAGGCGAGGAGGATGTACATCCAAATGTCCGGAGACAGGGGGTTGAGGAAGGAGAACACGCTGGGGTTGGTCCCGTTGGGCTTCCGGTACAAGATGCTGACTCCCAGGGTCATGAAGGGCTTGGAGAAGTCTATCGCTTTCTCCCGAACGTGGGTGATGGTGAGAGGAGCAACGGCCAGATCGGCTTTCTGCGTGCGATGCAGAGGGAGGGAGACACAGAGGGAGAGAGGAAGGCGGCATTAGGAACCGGGGCATTTCCATCCCCTTAGAGACACCCACAGCAGTCATGCTGCAGTAATGGCCCCGAACACCCCAAAGCGCAGCCCAGGGCTTCCCCCCTCCCTATGCACTTGGGGTACCTCTGCCAGGGCCTGCCTGGACCTCCCGCCCCCCCGTCCCGGGGCAGGCAGGGCCCTCTCCCTGTAACTGCTTCCCTTCGGACCTGCAGCCTTGCCCTACAGACAAACACAAAGCTGTCGTCTGAGCTGCTCGGCGTTGCACACCAGCGCTGTTACCCCAACACAGATACGGGGTCTCCAAAACACCCGGGGCGAGGTTCTGGAGGTGGTGGTGCGGATGTGTTTACCATCTTTAGAAGAGTTGTTCCAGATTTACATCAGTGGGCTGGAGGGCAAAACACGGTCTCTTGTTTGCTAATTATACTCTATGACTTTCATTGTATAGATTTTCAGCTGATAGCTAGCGAAATACAGTGCAGACAACCAAGAGATGTTACAGTCTCCGCAGCTTTTGCCCAGATGCAATGAGCTCATTTTGATAGGCTCTTCCAAAATGGTCAGAAAAATTATATTTTACAATGGTATAAAACGTCTGTGATCCTCGCTGTGCTTGCTTCTTGCCGCAGAGCTCTTTAGCACAGAGAGTTTGCTGCGTGCAAATCCCCCCGTTTGCAGAGATGATTTGTTTTTGTTGGCCTTCCTTTCAATGTTGCTGCAAGAGGAGACAGTCGCAGAGGGAGGCCACTCCAGAATGAAGTTGCAGGGAGTAATATTGCAGCAGCATGAGGTAAAAGGTTCAATTTCTTTCCCCTCAGCCCACTTCATGATGCAACTTGAAAGGCTCATTCTGAGGCAGCGGTGGCGTGGGGCAGGAGCGCAGCTCTCGGGGAACGCTCACCAGCCTGCCTGGAGGGAGCAAAACCTCCCACGGTTCCCGCAGGTTTTCTTTCCGTGCTTACGGCTGCGAGCCCCGCCAAGGAAATGCTGCTGCTAATTAATGGTGGACTTTGCAGTTCGTCATGCTGGAACTGTCTGAGCTGCACCAGGGATTTCTGCTGAGCGTATTCATCCTGACTTCTTGTATGAATTGTTTCTTTCTATGATTTCTGTTATTTAATAATTTTTATGCTAGATTCAGTGAGCAACCACATACAACCTCTTTCTGTTGGTTAAGAGTTGTGTTCATTCCTCTCACTAAACATTCATTCAGGTTCTTAAAAAACCCCTTGGGTAACTACATCCGAGGCTACCTCAATGTCAGGTCCCTGGCGTGGGGTTTGCAAATCTCTCTTTCGGTATTGTTGACTTCAGAGGAAATGCAGGCACATAAATTACGTTTCTGAAGTTGAGTGGTACCTCCCCCCGTGCCAGGTGCCTAGCATGCCTGTGCAAGATTTATTTAACATCTGGTTCTGAAAATTAAAATTCTAAATTAACCAGGAGCGATAATTACCTCGTGATATAGTGTATTTGTCATTACTTGCAAACTTTAAATCAGTATTAGCTGTCTTGCTAGAATATGCTTTACTCCAACAGAAACTATGGATTCACTGTAGAAATTGGTGAAGATCTCTGGCCTGAGTTGTGGAGGAAGGTCAGACTAATGATCTCGTTTGACCTTGCAAGTCTGTGATGAAAGCCAGTGGAATATTTTTAAATACAGGAATCTGGGACTTTTTTTACAAGAATAATTTCTATATGAGCTTTTATCCATTACAGACGTGTGTGTGTGTGTGTGAATGAAAGGGATCTCCTCTCCAAAGAATGTAGCTTTAGAGGTCCTGAACAAAAGTGTGTCAGGAATTCTGTAACAAGGGTAAAAATGATGTATTTTTTTCCTAACATGGTTCTTCAGCTGAGCCCTGGTTGGGTCCCTTTCCTTCTCAATTTCCAAATGGGAATATATTTTTAAATCAGCTTGGTACAGAAAGTGTCCCTTTTAATCACTGACATTTGTCAAAACTTAGAGAAAATGGAAACAGTATTTTCCCAGGGAGCCCTTTAGTGCCAGCTGTGGCTATGGTGACATTGATGAAAACTGAAGGACAGTGGGTTTTAGAAGTGGACGGGCAATGCTGGCTGCCCAGCTTGGGACAGTGAAGTTCTGCATCTCAGGAGCAGAGTCTGGATCCTTGGTACCGTCCCGGCGGAGGACACCGGCGGGTTTGTAGCTCAGCTGCTCTCCCCATGTTACAGCACGCTTGAGAATGTTGGCTTACCGGTCTCCAAAGACACAAGGCAGCAATGGCAAAAGAAATGCAGCAGTTTAGCTCCTCCATCACTTCTGTGTGGGTGTCCTGACTCAACAGGGAAAAGCGAAGGGGATATTGAAGGATTTGGCTACAGATTTTTCTGAAGGAGGAAACAAATGAGCAGTTCTGTGGTCAGCGCTCGCTAGCAACTGCCTGTCTGAAAGATCCTGAGCCAAATTTGTCAAAAAGGTAGAGCAAGCTAAATAACAGCCAGGAGTTTATGCTTTACCACAGAAAATGAAGAGAGAGAAATCTGCATGGATGCCCAAGGATCAAAATGCTTTTAGTGCAGAAATAAAATTTTACTGTGTCATTTCAGCAGCTCCTGTGATTTGATCACAGCCCCGTGTCCTTGGCAGTAAATGTCACACACAGGCAGGCTGGAGCATGTATTAGGCAGCCCAATCTGGTGTAGTGTCCTCAGCTATTAAAGGCAGCACAGGCCTGCACTTCGATATCCTTTTTATCAATGCACATTCTTCTGAAGGTGGCCTCTAATTAAGGGTTTGCTGACTGAGAGGATCTAAATCAAAACCCACCAAGGGTGAAGCTTTCATTTATCGTGCTCTGACATTACAAACAGGGAAGTCAATTACCAGACCCTGACTGCTTCCTTCACTCAGCCCCCATTTTTATGCCGTTGCACAGTAAGATGGGTTTTATTAAAAATGAGGAATTATCGCAAGTGCCGGTGGCTTAAAGGCCCTTGTCCAGCAAAACCACTTAAGCACACGCTTCTGTTTTACTGGAGCTTGCATGCCTTCCAAGTCTTATGTATGTTCTTAAGTGTTCTGCTGAATTGAGGCCAAAAGGAGGAATTTTGCCAAGGCAGCTACACACCAAATGCAGACACTTCTCTAGCACACCTTGAAGGGTCTGGATCTCCTTATTCACCTAGTGTTACAGCATTTTCACTTGGGTGGAACTGATGCGAGTTCACTGGGCATTCAGTGGATGGAGGATCATATTCTCTGCAGAGATATTTGGCTTTTATCAGAAAATGCTAAGTCTTATCTTCCCGTTCTCAGTTATCACGGGAACGCGGCCTGTGGGTTAGAACAGCTCTTGCACAGCCATGGTCACTGTGGAAGTCCTGCAGCATCCGACCTCCGCGGGAGGAAAGCTGCGTGTGACGGCCAGTCACAGCTGAGCCTACAAACAGCGTAAGCACCAAGGTAAATATGTGTTCAGGAAAATAAGCTGCCTCTGTGCTTATTTCGCTAATCTGAGTTAGGTATTTACATAAACTAATTATGTGTGTGTTGCCTGAGAGACAGGTAAATAGTGCATATTTTACTTATTTAATTGTTATTCAGGTGTCTGTCTGGCAGAACCGACACTTTCATCCCTCAGCCTCTTTTGCCACCACTGCTGCTAGCGCTGGGGCTGCAGCGCTTTTCTGCTCTTCTGCTCCCACTGCTCTGCTTCAGGTCCCATCTCTGCCCCCCTCCCTGCTTTGCTTGCTCGGCTGCTGTGCCGTGCTCCTGCACGCTGTGCTCCTGCACCCTGTCCCACCGCAGGTCTGCTGCGTGATGGCCTCGCTCCTGCATCTTTCCCTGCAGCGGAGCCAGCGCCAGGGCATCCTTGGGCACAGACATCTCAGAGCGCCGGGGCCGACAAGGCACGGCCGAGGCAGCCGGTCTGTCTTGCAGCCCATGGGTTGGAGACAGAGAGGCTGCTGCTTTAGCAGGCATCGGAGCGCTCTGCCCAGAGCCCTTCCCTCTTGCTGGCCAGGCATAGGAACACACACAGCCTGCGAAGTGATGCTCGAGGAGAGTGGGGGTCATGCCCGGCAGCATCCCAGACGTGCCTGGGTCTGCGACCGCGCACCGTGCGCTGGGGGTCAGCGTTAATTGTCTGACTCCAGCTCTTAATGGCTGCTCTTACAACTTCAGTCCTCATTTAGGCATCATTTTTGTCAATTAATTTATTTAATATCAGTGGTGAATTAAGAACAGAGGTTAGCAGGGAAAACCTAGCTGTAAGCTGAAGAGGAGAAATGAAGACCATGAAGTCCTGTTGGCCATCTTGTAATCTTTTCTTTAAGGATGTCCTTCAGCAAGGGAACTGCCATTAATTGTACCTAAGGGGTGTCAAAGGCTGTGGGATCCCAGCGAGGATGGCCAGACTTTGAGAGAGAAGCCCTATCGTAGGAATGACCAGCAGGTCAGCAAGCCAGGGGAGGGAAAGGCGGGTCCAGGGAGACCTGCAGAAGCAAGTGGAGAACTCGGGGCTCCCAATGTACGCTTCAACGTGCTTCCATCACCTGGATCACTGAGTATGATAAATATGAATCCACCCAATTAACGATGCTGAGCACAAAAGGAGAAAGCGCAGCCAGCTGTTTTGGCTTATTTCCATCTCCTCCCTAACGCAGAGTTCCTGCAGTGAACAAGAGATGGAGGACACTTCATCCAACACAATTGTTTTTTCCCTGTTCCTGGCCCAGTGGCTTCCACATGAATCCCCAGTTCACAACACTTGAAATAAAACATCCACCGGTGCAGGAACATTAATGGGAATGTGGCAATGTGGTGCAATATGTATTTCTGCCAGAATTTACTGTCGATAACTGCCCATTTATTGTGAAAGTGTTAAATCAACTGTCATAAATTGTCCCTAAGGACAGATATTGCATCTTCTCTGTAGTTACCGTTGGCAGGGATTTCCATTAGAAACCCTATTATTTCTCATACCTTTTTTATTCCCACATGAAGTTTCAGATTGAATGGAAATTTGATATGCACTGTCTCAGCAGAAGACAAGTTTTATTTGTGAACAAGTTTGTGCAAAATGTCCAGAACAACTCATTCTGCTGGTTTTATGCGATTCTGCCCACAAACAATAGGGAAGATTTGCAGGCATTATTTTGCCAGACAACTAGAATTTATAAATCAGAATGGATGGGCCACAATGCACAGTGTAATTTTGCTTGTATCAATAATAATTTCTATGAATAAACATCAATAACAGTTCACTACTGATGAAAGGAGGAGATTTGACAGTTGCCAAGTTCCTTGTTTATTATGGATGCAGAGCACAGGAGCTTCTCTGCGTCACCTGGGTGCCCCAGAGCTCCCCAAATGCCAGTGCGGCTTTCGTGGCCCATCGGATTAAGGCTCCTCTGTGGGGGTGGCCAGGGAGAGTGACAACAGGCAACCAGCTGTGGTGAGGAAAGTCTTGTTCTCCAGGGAATGGACTGAACTCCCTCACAACAAGGATTTTTTTGTGATGAAGGATGAAAGGCAATGGGGCAGGGCTTTTTGCATCTAACCACAGGAGGCTGTCTTCTCCAGATCTGCTGCTGGGGACCTGGGAGACAGGGTCACGCTGTGAGCTGCTCCGACTGCTGTTGCTTTTCCTGTTTATGCTTAAGGCCAGACTAGAAACAAAGCCACTTTACAAAGGATCATAGCCTAAGGCATTACTGCCTATGGCCAGGCATGTCTGGATCAGAGAGGACCGGGGAAGGAGGATGATGTGAGACTCCAAAGCAAGGCATGAGAGCTCATTGTGTAAACAGCCCGTCCTCCATCATGTGTGCTGTGATTTACAGCGCTGCGTGGTAGGCACCATCATCCCTGAAACGCTACAATTGCATACCTGCCTGGGCTGCCCTGACTGGCACCTACACCCAGCTCCTCTCTGGCTGTATTCCCCAGCCCAGCAGAAGGCCAGCCTGAGTCATGGGCTGCTCCTTGCTTTGCCCATCTCCTTTTCACCCAATTTCAGCCTCAGATTGGGCTATTCCTGGTATACAGCATCTGCCGCTCCCACAGCTCTCAGCCCTTCCGAGAGATAACAGTCGCTATTTTAGCCTCTTCTTTCACCTCAGGAGCAGCCTCTCCCCTGCACAGGACGTTCAGCCCCCCAGAGCTGGTGCACACAGCGGTGCCGGGGGCTCAGTCTCAGATGCACACGAGTTAAGTGGGGTGTCAGCAAAGCACGGACTTTCTGCATAGTTAATCCTGGCCTGGGTGTTTGGACCTCATAAAATCCTGCCTGCTTTATGCTCCCACCTGAATGATCCCAATTCTTTTATGAGAAGGAGACGCTGAATATGGAGAAAAGCCAGCCCAGATATCAAACTCACAGTGTGGGCAGCCCTGTTTTCATCACTACAACTTTGTTTGAATGCCGTCTCCAACACTTTTCCTACTAGGTGTGAAATAAGTTTGAACTTTCCCATTGCAAAGTGCCAATCAGTTGTTCCTTTCTCCATACGATTTGAAGATGCTTTGCTGCTGAGGAAGGGCCCCATCTGGTTGCAGTTTCACTTTTTAATGCTTTACATAAACACTGCTATTAAAAGCAGTGACATGCAGATAAAGAAAATAATGGCTTCATATGGGGTTTGGGCAATGGTTATAAATCACTCCAAGGCATGCACCCAATCACAGCTGTTAGAAAGCGGAGTTCAAACTTGATGCTGCAGTAAAACTTACAAGAAGAGGGGACTTGGTCCTTTCCTGTTGCTGTATGTTAATTTGCTTTTTAAATAGTTAGCCAACAAATACATTAATGCGGGCTGACCATGACTTTCCTGTTACTTAATGAGGTTGTTCCCCATACTTTCTTCTCGGTCTGTCTCTTTTAGCTGACCACAGCTTTGGGAACGGCTGAAAGCCTCCCAAGAGCCCTGTACCATCTTGCAGGACATTGGAGGTGACATGGTTTGGACTAAATGACGGTCTGACTTCTAATCCCTATATCTTATTTCCTGCTTTGGAGCGATTTACTTCTTCAGAGCTCTGCACTACAGACACTCTGCTGCCGGCAGCGGGTACGGGACCACAGGAGGCTGTGTCCCAGAGCGCGCTGCTGAGGATCGCTGCCTGTGCTCCGCGTCTGTTCGCATCGGTGTCACGCACATCACTCGGAGTGGCAAAGCACCAGTCTCTTCTGCTGGGACACTGTCACTTGTCTAACTTAGCAGGGCTGTTGCGTAAGAGACTATAAAATCTGTATTTGGAGCTGTATGGAGTTTTCTGGAAGCAAAAATAGAAAGGCAGGTTTGCACAGCCTGTGGCATATTCCCCTGTGAGACACAGCGTCCTGCTCCCCCAAGGGCTGTCCTTGCATGCCCTTGCCGCACTTCCCACTTCTCCAGGGTGAGCCATCGAAGGGCTGCAGTGCTCTTCGCAAAGCCATTAAGCATCACTTTGTCCCTATAAGGGACGTAATCATTATCATCTGCATTTTACAGATGGAGGAAGTATTGCACAGAAGCAACTTGTCCAATGTCATTTAGGGCAGACAAGCCAAATCCGGGAACACAACCTAGATCCCGGAGCCCCAGCTCCGCAGTCTCACCACCAGACAATGCTCTGTTATCTGTTCACAGCGAAACTCATTTACTGAAGTGACTCACCCAGCAAATACATTCTTCTCACATGAACTGTAAGAGCATCAAAGCTGCTACGTACGTGGGGTTATTTTTGTCTCTTTTCTGCTTAGGCAATGTTTTCAAAATGTAGTGAGGAACTTGAGAGGTGGTCTGAGGGCTGCACTGCTTGAGCAGGATATTCAGAAGAGAGCTGTGTTACAGCTCTAGGGCTGCTCACGCTGCTGCCTGGGCTGCGGAGATCCTAGATTAATTTTGTCCTGGTCTTTTCTTCCAGAGGCCTTTTTTGGGAATCGGAGATTCATAAAAACACCAGCTTTCCTCACCTCCCTAACTGAGCTTCTGGGATCACAGGATGTGCTGGAAGCAAAATATCTAATTAGGAAACTGAGCAGCGTCTGGCTGCGAGTCGAGGTTTCAGACTAGGTGACTTTTTGGTGGCTGCAAGAGTAAAGCTGCCACCACAGTTTCACTAGTGTTTAATGGGCTTTTAGAAGTGGCCGTGGAAGGAAAAAGCACAGCCGCTGTGTTGCAGGGGGAGCTCCGTGTCCCAGGAGATTTTAGAAAATAAGCTGCATTTATTAAAAAAAAATTTATTAAACTGTCCGCTGCACACCTGCTCTGGCAGTCTGGATACATCATCTGGATTCAGCTGAGCTGTGTCTGGGACATGTCCGGGGTCCCTGAGCTTGCATCCCGCCCGGCCCATTTCTGTACGGTGAGAATGTCCATTTGCAGAAACTCCAAATGAATATTTGGAAGAGTCAGGCAAAGAGATACTCTTGTGAGAAACCGTGCAACACCAAGCGCTGGCGGGGTTAGGGGCTCGCTGCGAGCACCCGTCCCACCCCAGGAAAGCCAGCGAACAGCAAGCACCCGTCCCACCCCAGGCAGAAAGCCTTGGGGACAGCCTGAGCACAGCCGCCCCTCGGCACCCGCCGGCTGCCCGCGCCAGGGATGGGCCTCACTCACGTGGTCGATGAGCTCCTTGATCATGCCGTTCCACTGCCCCTTCTCATCCTGCGCCCCGTATTTCCCATCCTCCACCAGCCGGATCTCGTAGGTGAAGCCCAGGATGATGGCCAGCTCCTTCAGGAGGTCGATGCAGTAACCCTCAAAGCGGTCATTCCCGAACAGGGCCGTGTCAGACTTACGGAACATGACAAAGGGCTCTTCCTGCGGGTGGGAAGGCAAAGAGTCCCTGTTAAGGGTCAGCTGCGGTCCCAGCTCCCACCGGAGGCAGGGCTGTCCCTGCGGGTCAGCCTGAGCCATGAGGCACGGGCTCTTCAGGCAGGGTTGGCACTGTGACATGTTGGGAATAAATTAACTTTGCACAGCACATCAGCTAATTAGCAACCTTGTTTACCCCACAAAATTTAATTTTGTCTCTTCTGAGCAGCCAACTGTTTTCCATTTGGTGGGATTTCAGGGAGAAAAATAACCATTTCATACTCTGAAAATTAAGAGTGTTGAGAAACAATAAAAGGGGGGATGACAAATTCAACCCCAAGTCCCGCAAGCAGAAATCCACCCCAGTACCTGTCATTCGCTGCAGCTGCAGCGAGCAAAAGACTGGTGGGTTAAACACAGGGCGAGGGAGCCGTGCAGGGCTGGTGCCCAGCCCGAGACATTGCCCAGTTTAGCTCCCTTTCCTCTTTGCTGGCACTAGCTGATGGGATGCAGGGCCCTGCTGCCATCCAGAGAAAGTTTTGGCTCCAGTTGTGGCTGCTGTGGGAAGGCTGGGGGGTGTCTTTAATCACAGCAGCGCCAGGCATCAGCACAGGTGAAAAATAACTCATGAAGTGCTTTACAGCAGGCTTTGCCCTGTGGATCCCTGCCCCTTTAGCGCGGGCTGGCAGGTGGGGTTAGCAAACACACAGCAAACTGCACGGCCCCTTGGTGCATATCAGGCTTGAGCAGTCACCGAGGACGAGGGACAGTGGGGAGCCCGAGGGAGAAAACATGTAGAGGACAGATGGAAATGGCAAAAGATGGTGGGCAGCAGGCAAAAGCTAGAAGGCAAGGGGAGGATGAGGCATCCACAGTGGCTAATACATGGCTCCAACCGGAGGGATCTGCAGGCTACCCCCCTTTCCCATGGGGTGGCCAGCAACGGGAGGGCTCATGTTGGGGCCACATTGCTGGAGGCCCTGTGGTATCGCACAGGGATGAGGGGGCTTGAAGTCGCAGAGGGAAGAAGGTCTGGAGTCCCAGTTAGAGTGCTACCGAGATGCCCAGTTTGGTGGAGCGCAGGCACCCTGCCTCAGGTGGGTTACGCCGGGCGGGGTGCGGGACCGGGAGCCGGGCTGTGCCAGCGGGGAGGTTGGCGGCTCTTGTCTCCCAGCTCCATCTGCCAGCCCCACCTCTGCCAGGGGAGACCTCTGTCACCCCGGGGTGGGGGGCGCGAGAGCACGCGAAGGTCAATTTGCAGAATTATAAAGCAAAACTGGTAACATCTCGCCTATGGAGTTCAGCTTGGCGCGCGCAGCTCGGTTAAACCCTGCTCTCCCTGGCTTCCTCCTCAGCTTTCTTCTCTGGAATTAGTGCTTTGTTTGTGGATCAGCTGAATCTCTGGTTCTTGATATAAATACAGCAGCTCCAGAGCAGCCATAAAGCACTATTAATTTTGGGAAGCGCTGTAGGGATTACATACATATTTAACAGCCGAAGCACTGAACATTAGGACGCCGCTCGCTTCAGTAATGTATCTCCAGGTCTCAAACATTTCCTAGGGGGTAATTCTGAACTCTGTGAACCACTTATTCACGGACTATTTCACAATTTATTACTGAAAATGGCCAGACATCCAATTCACAAGCGCTCTCGGTTTGCTAATCGATTTCTCAGTGAAGGTGCCCTCAATTTCATAACTTCACAGTTCCCATATTGCTTGGGGAGAGTGGCGCTGGCTGCTGGGGTAATATTTCTCTTCCAACGAGTCACTGCAATATGAGCAAAAGGGGAAAAAATAACCTTTCATGCTTCTCCTTTTAAAGGTTCCTCCTATGGCTTTTCTACGATCATTTACACCAGTGCAAAAGTACAAAGAGGTGTTGCAAATGCAAATAAAATTTAGAGTTGTATTTTATTTTTTAGAATCCAGTATATGAAAATGCAATTATTGCAGAACTCGAGCCTAAGCACATTTCCTCCTCCTGCAGGCAAGGGAATTGCAGGACAGCGGTGGTTTTGAGGTGGATACCCCGTGGCACGCGTGCAGGCCCAAGGACTGGCACAATTAATAGGAATTGATGCCACACTTGTACCTAATATAATTTGTACGTGCTCGTGGAGTATGAGATGAAAATGCTGCCCAAAAAAAGCGCGTCAAAGGCAGATGGTTGACAGGTCTCCTCCTGGCTCCATTGTTTTGCATTACGCTGTGGCCTTTGAGGTACAGTGATTATCGTACCCCAGACATTTCCACAACTCTGGCCGTGCACCTCACCCTTGACAAGATGCATCTCTTCTGGTTTCCCTGAGGCCTGCCCATACAGCTTTCACCGATACTCCAGTCCTGAACTTGTCTGCTGTCCCTTGGCTTCACCCCGCGTGTGGGTGCTCCTCCAGCTCGCGGTGCAGGCAGCTCTGTGGCCATCTCTGGAGCCCACTCCCAGTGCTGCCAGCCGTCCCACCCCAGGAATTTTCCCCAGCGTGCTGCACGCAGTTCTAATTAAAGAGGGGGGGGGGAAGAGGAGTCACTTCTGGTCAGTTGTATCCAGCCACAGTACGGGTTGAACAGTTCCCTTAGGGCTGATCCTGAGCCTCCACCTGCGAGTGACTTGATGTCGTGTGTTACTTGTGTTGCCCTAAAAATTTGCATCTCCCGTGTACAGGTACTGACAGCGCTTTGGGTTACCGTGCTAAAACGAACTAAACCTGGCATGGCAGGTCTCTCTATTTGGCCTGTTAGAAAAACACTACCTAACCTACTGCTTTCTGAGCACACCAAGAATGCTTAAATGCAAAAGAAAAAAACAATTGCTGCTGCTAGTTCTGCTAATGCGCATGGGGCAGGAGCACTGCCCCGTGCAGACTCCCCTGTAAGCACGACCCATCGCACTCTCACGGGACTGGCACGGTAGAAAACTTTTGGACTGGGAAGGGAAGGAACTTTTCCTGTCTCCCCTGCACGTTGAGACAGGAAAGCAGTGTGTTCATGTATGCGGTCAATGATCTAGGCCTGCACCTGACTCTTGGAGAGAGGGACTTTAATGAATATGTTTCATTGCAACAAATATTTTGTAGTGAATGGGAAGTTCGTTAGAAGGAGTGGCTAATTTGTAAGGAAAGCTGGAGCAGCATCTGTATTTGGCTCACATTCTGCTAACCTCTTGCTGAGGGATACAAGACCTTTGGTTCCAGCCTTTTTTCTGCCTTGGACCAAGTGTTTCCTTTCTCTGTTCTCCTCTGGGCACTTGGTCCCATTCCTTCTATGGTACAAACCCCGACTCTGTCAGGTCATGTCCTTTTGGGAAGGCAAGGACATCACCGGGGATCACACTGCTCTGGACCAGGGAATGCATCCCCAGCTGGCTCTTTGCCATCTGTACCGTTATGCTCCCTGAAAATACGGAACACAGAAAATTTCCATAGGCAAAACCATCATTCAGGCCCAATGGCGGGCAGGCTGTCCAAGGGCTGAATTTTGTTGCTTCCTGGTGACATGCTATGAGCCTACGCTGTGTAATACAACCATATAGAAACCAGTGCCACTAGTCATAATTCATTAGATAGTAAATAAAAATTCATTCTGATCTGATGCCTGCCATCACATCCAATAGCGAATGTGAGAACAAAATGCAGCGTGACAGCTGGAAGCGGAGGAGACCTGTTAAGCAACCATGGTTTGCTGGATAACAGTATTACTCTTAGCTAGTTTCTCAAATATGTACTTAAGAGGGGGAAAGAAACACGATTGTCACAGCTAAGCCAGGGTCTCTGGTTTTCTTCTGCAACAAGAACACTCCTATCCAAGGTAGGCAGTGCGGCTGTCTGACAGCGCCTGCTGCTGCGCGGCTGCCTGCCCCGGCGCTGGTGGTAGATGGGCGGCTCGGAGCTTTCCTGGAGCTCAGCACCTGCAAACCTCCCGCAACGAGAGCACGGGGGGGACAGGGGACCTGGCTGGGCAGCCAAAGCAGAGGAGCTTGGCCGGCAGAAGCAGCAGCCTCCTGGGCTGCACGGGGACCGCGTGCGGTTCCAGCTGGCCCGTGCCAGCCTCGCTGTGCTGGCTGGCAGCCTGCTCGGGAGCGGTGGCATCGGAGGATGCCGCAGGTCACCTCGGTGCAGGTGCGTGGGCATTGCGGTGCCCGGCTGAGCCCAGCCTGCAGGCGAGGGCTCTCTGTGCCCTTGCTTGGCTTTCCAGAGGGACTAGCAGATCTGTACTGGGACGCTGTGAATTTTCAGAGGTAGCAGATAGCCCTGAGATTTGTGGGTGGAGGAAAAAGACAGGCTTGCAATCGCCTACCAGGACAGTGGTGACAATTAGAGATCTGTTGCTCAGCGAGTCTGTGACATTAGGCCCTCGTCCTTTGGAGATTTCTGTGATGTTCAAACCATCAGAAGGGCTCCACGCTCCAACCTGAAACGAAGCAAGCAAACGAACACATGAACACCTGGCTTACATTCCTCACTTGCTCTCAGCATCCTACTGGCCTGGAAAATGGAGCTTGCTTCTTTCATATACAGTAAACGGAAGCAAAGTTGAAATTATCATCTTGTATCACCTAAATTTGCATTAACCCTTCACTTGCAGGTCACTCTAGCTGCCCATGTATAATAAACAGCCCCTCTGTTGCCGCCCTCTGATGCAGGTGCATGAAAGAAGACCACGATGACTGGAATTTAGGGGCTGAATGAACAATTTGCAAAGGTACTGTGTAGAGCAAACAATCAAACTGCACTGAAGAGTCAACCCTGGGCAAGGATACAAAGAAAGAACAAAAGAAAAAGACCCACAAATATGAAGCCGTTTTCCTTCTTTTGTATTTCTCCACAATTTGGTTTTGTGGGGAGAATTAAAAATGACTTGACCAGCTCTGCAAGCCCCTGGTAGGGACCATGCCTGTCCTCTGCGCTGTGACAAACTAGACGGACGTGTCTAGCACATCCCCTTGGAAGGGCCCTGGTCACCCCTCCAGGGACGTCGGCCGCAGCGGGAGCTCTAGGTCCTGGAGGAGGGAATGGCAGCGGACTTGCTCGGGCACGGGCTCAGGCACGTGCAGCTGCGTTCCTTAGCAATTTGAGGTGCTCTGTTTTTCTCAAGCTGTCAATTTTAATAAATTATTAGACTTTGAAGAAGTCTATTGATCCAGAAATAGCAAAACATGCCTCTATTTAAGAGAAGTCATCTGGGCAACTGTAAGCCTGTTAACCTGATCTATGCAGTGCAGGGGAGGCTTTTGAACAAACTTTGAAGGCAGGACTGGCTAAAGGACTGTGACGGTGAGATAAAATGTCAGGAAAGCTGGAGGAATATGGGATTGCTGCCAGCAAACAGACCAGGGTGGCTGTATAGCCAGCCTGACAGTGAGAAAAAACAACCCCACATGGAAGTGGGAACAGAACGATCCATCTGTGGGGTCAAACGGTGAGATGGGACTCAGAGAGGAACCAAAGGCAGACAGCTCAAACCCACCAGGGCGCCAGGAACTTCCGATATTTTATTTATTGCTATTTTTAAGATTCTTCAACCTCTTCAGCAGTCCAAGGGGAGAATTTGCTTTTACTGCATCCCCAAAAAGAGACTTTGTAATGAGCAATGCTGCCTGGCAAAAAAAAGTCATAAATTCTAGAAGAGTTTCCATGAACTTTGTGAAAGGCTCTAAATATTTCAGGTAAAACCTAAGCAATCCCCCGTATCTCCCTTCGATCACACAACAGCTACAATGTCAAAAGATTATTCTTGTGCATGGGGAAAGAGGAGCAAGTCTAAGAGGCTCCTGCTAGCAGCACTGCAGACTCAGTTAACTATGCCTTGCCAAGTTTTCTTTAAGAAAATTAAATATATGGCACTTAAGACTGCATTAATCAGTTTAAAATATTAAAAAGGAAAGAAAAAGGAAAAAAGTGCATTAAGAGAACTGTGCAAGTCATACAGTCAAACGATACGTAATTAGGTTTAGTTAATACTCCTGTAATCCCTGGAACATCCAGGAGGTATAAGGATCAGGAGTTCAATCCTAAAGCTCAACAAACATAAGCTATTACACATAATGCACAATCCGTACGGGATTTGTTTGTAGTTTGGCGTTTTGTTATTTCAGATTAACTATTGACAGAAGCCTAGCTTCAACAGGGATTTGACATCGATACTTTAAAACCCCTCTAGAGTTGACAAGAAGCTTTCAGAAAAATAATAGTGGGAACTGTGCAATCTCTGAATTGTTGGAGACAAAAGTTGAATGTCTGTACAGGGTATGCATCAAAGTTTGGTGGCTTCCTATGGCCTTTCTGAGGCACACAGTGGCAATAAATACAGCTGGTGGCAGCTATTCGCCAGTACACCTGAGGGGTATTAGTTTGACAGGTAGATATTGTGGTTGTACTTAAACATTTAGATTCACGTGGTATCCAAATACTGGCACATTTTTCTATTATTCTACCAACACAGCTCTCCGGCAGTCCATCAGTGCCACGGTACTCCAAAAAGACGTGTTGGGTTTTTTGATTTAGACTGTATTTTGTAAAAAAAGAAGTCAGGCTACAAAGATCATCTCCTGCTCAGTTCTTGTGAGAAGGTGGCATCTTCCCCTGCTCCTCTCCTGCCTCCTTACAGCACCGGCTCGGTTGATGGCAGCCGAGACTGAAGGTCATTGGGTTTATTTGAAATGTTTTCTTTATTCTGTATTTGACACCAAAAAATACCTACTAGGAGAGTGCTGCAGTGACCTTGAGATTTTTTTACGTGAAGCAAAGAACTACTGCTGTGGTGAGAAAGTGTGGCAACAATTTATTTCAAAGTGAAGAAAAAACAAACTGTAAAAATGAGGATGGGGAAGTCAAGCTGTTTGGTCCCAGGGAGCTTCACCGTGCAGGATCTGTCCCCTCCAAACGGGAGGGTTGATCAAACTGCTGCCTCCAGCCCCCGGGGGCTGCCTACCTGCGCCGTCTGATTAAATCCCTGGAAAAGTCATCTGCGCGCGTTGGGCCGCTTGCTGCACGGTTAATTGAAAACTCCCTCTCTCTGCGCCCGGCTGGCATTGCCCGCCGCCGCACAACCCGTGTCCATGCCCCAGGGCCTCAGGACTCGGCACTCGTCCCCGGCTGCCGGTGGGCACCTCGCGCGCATCAAAAAGCAGACTCTGCTCTAGGAAGGGCTTTGCTGCCCCGTAGCCAACTTTCTCCTGTAAATCTGCAAGACACCTTGAGCAGCACGGGGGCTCGGAAGGACTCACAAAAGGGATCAGGCTCTGGGAGCCCTCGGTGGCCTCCCATGCCGTGCCGTTATCTGGAGCCTGAGCAGAGCTCAGCCCCGGGGCATTGCTGGCTGCTGGTATCAGCTGTCCGCGGTGCAGGGCTTTCTGCACTTCAGGCCACTCGCTACTCTCTTTTGCCTTAAACGAACTGAGCTCACCTTGAAACCTGTGTTCTAGGAGCTTTAATGCTTTGCATGTTGCCTTTTTTTTTTTTTTTAAAGTAATTGAAGAAAAGGAAATTAAATCCCATGAACACCTGAGAATCAGATTTGCACATTGGCTTCTGTGCCCGGAGATTTGCACTAATTAGGAGGATCTGAGGCTGCAGCCTTTGGGCCGTGTCACCTCTGGGTGGCTGGGCAAACACGGCCACCGAACGAGACCCCTCCAGCCAGGCAGCCAAAAACGCACTTTGCTTTTTTTCTTATTGTCCCTTAGATAACACAGAAGAGAAATAAACAAAAACACACAGTGCATCCTCCTGCAAGATCTAGGCTCTAATAAACTGGGGCTATTTCCAAGCCTCAGGTAATTTTCATTGTGGGAAATCACGCCGAGATGATGCTTTCAAGAGCTGTTCCCTCCTCAGGGTAAAATCAAAGTTTTGTAAGTAAGCCCAGCAAGATGGGGGGTGGGACAGGCTTTATTCCCTCCACCTTTGGTCTGGGCAAGGAGAGGTTAATGGCTGCTCAGAAAGTTTCTTCTGCTTCTACTACCCCAGGAAAGTGCCACAAGCACTTCTGCAGCTAGTAACTGTAATCCCACGCACGTTGCTTCGGGGCTAGTGAGTCATGACTGAGGCATGGAAAAGGATCTGAGAAATCCCACAAAGTAAATATTCTTTTATATAAAAATCAGAAAACCTGGAAACAATTCAACCACCGACCATTTTCTCTATTGCCTGAGTACTGGAGTTAGACTAAGCCACATGCAGATAAGACAAACCCTGCCTACCTTTTCAAGACCATCTTCTTTGAGGCTGATGATATCCAAATCAAAATCTGTCCGTAAACCACTAGTTTTATTGAAGACAATTCGTCCTGTTAATCCTTCCCATTGGGCCTGTGGAAGGGAGAAGTAGCAGGGCTGTTACTTGGTATCATAAATAATCTTTTACCCTCCACTGTATCTTCCTCTAATTAGTCCTTATACTGATTCTTTCTCCCTAAAGAGCGTGATTAATTAATAATCACCTCTGTTGCTGTTCAGACTGCAGACGGAGCTGGAGATTTTCTTAACTCTCTTGCGGTCCTTGCTACAATTTTTGTTCACACCTTTTGTGTTCACCAGCTGTTGCAGGACATGATGACTCAGTAGAAAACTGCTTGCATTTATCATAGCATCCTTGTGTGCTGCACTTATCCTTGTAGTACTGATAAATGCCAGGCTGCAGGGAGCCTGGGTTTGGGACACCTTCAGTCAAGTTCATAAATAATCCTTTTTTTGCATGAATCTGCTGATGCTTCCAAGGTGTGTGGAAGCTGAAATGTCCTGAATGCTTCCCTCCCTCTGTTCAGATGGAAAGTGGAGTGGAAGAAGCCAAGAGCTTGTCCATGCCAGCAGGCTCTGTTTTGAAACAGGCATGGCAATCTGGTGGGCTCGTGCTGTGTCAGTACCCCGGTTCGGTATTTGCCAGTATGAGCACGGGGCAGGTGGCCATTGGGGCTGGGGAAGCCCCGCTCCTGAAGATTTTCAACGCTTGACTGGACAAGGTCCTGTACAGCCTGGTCTGACTTGGGAGCTAGTCCTGCTCTGAGCTTGGGGTAAAGATGTCTAGGTTAGGTTCAACTGAAAGTATTCTATGATTCTGTTTCTTTTCCACTGTACAATTTGCAGCACCACCAGAATTAATCTCTCTGATTCAGGAGATATTTGCGCCAAATATCAGTGCTCACCAGAGCAGGTGCTAAGGGACAGCACGGTATGTGGTGCCTGCTCTGCCCAGGGACAGTGCTTGGATGTGCTAGAAGCACCTGTCCAAGGAGGATGCTCCCATAAGACTGCCGTGCTGCTGGCACGGTTTACTGCTTTGCAATCGCATCTTCGCAGCGGAGGGCTGAGACTCGGGCTCTTTCCCCTGAGCGGCTCAGTGCACGCTCCTCGTTGATGAATGTGTTTCCTTTATGGGAGGGGGAGCCTGAAATATCCCAGTGTGCTGAAGGTGGCATAATGTATTCTCAGGGGGGAATGACTGGCATATTTCCCAGTAAATACACTCCTCTCGCTCTTCCTCATTAATTCCTGAGGAGTAATGACAGCCTCCTCCCAGCCTCGCCATCCTTGAGTTTTGGGGAAGGCTGTGCTCAGCTCGCTCGTTTTGGTGTGCAGATTGGTCTGCCTGTGGGATGCGCAGCCCGCGGAGCCCTCAGGGAGCCAGGGAAAACACGGAGTGTTTAACATCCCCACCGGAGCAAACACGGCTGTGTGCTGAGCCCTGCACCTCCGGCGGGGCTGGAGCGAGAGCACTGAGGGGCTGCACAGCTCCCGGGGCTGGGCTGGGGGTGCGCAGCATCGCTGCAGCCCCCGATGGGCTCTGATCCCGCTGGCGTCGGCCCCGTCTCTGCAGGCAAACTCCAAGCGCCCGCTGTCCCGGCCTCTGGGCAGGCAGCGGCTGCAGAGGAACGTGTCCCCTCGCCGCTTGGCCCCGGGCCCCCGCTTCCCGGGGAGCCCTGACGGCACACGGGGTGAGGGTGGTCTCCTCGGGGCTGGCAAGGCCACCCTCCTGGCCCCTTTACCCCTCGGCAAGTGGGAACAAGCAGGGCTTCACCCCAGGAGTGAGCGCTCGGCAGCGACCCTGCGCCGCGGGTGCTGTGGCCTGTGCATGCACACAGAGGGGAGCGGTGCTGGGACCTGTGGGGCGCCCAGGGCCGAGGGAGCGGGTGTCTGCGGGGAGGCATCCCTCCGCGCGCCGCTTTCTCTTCGCAGGAGTTTAGAGAGAGCAATTACTGCGTGTTCTGATTGCAATGGGGAGGAAGCTTATCCCTGCAACGAGCTGATGCGGTGCCAGAAAGGGAAGGAAACAACAGGCGGGCACTGGAGTGTGAGGCTCAGGGTAATTTGCAAAAGGAGCCAACCAAACAAATTATTTACACTCTCTTTTGGCAGCCAGCTGGAGCGGCTTTCTGCAGAAGGGAACAAAACATGAAAAAGGGGGAGAGAGAGGCAGAGAGAGGAGAGAGACCATCTTCAGTGCCTGTTAAGAAAGTCCCTTCTCTCTCTGCAATGGGAATCGTTCTTCCTTTCTCCTCCCCTGCGTCTGGGCGCCCCGTGCAGCTCGGGCAGCACCTGGGGGGGCTCGCTCTCACCGCACTTGTGGGCCTTTGTCCAGGGTCCGCTGGGGTCTGTAGGTGATACTGCAGCACAAATCATAGTAATGATTAACGATCTACTTCTACTCTTTTCTGTTTAAAAACTTTAGGGGATTTTATACCCAGCCTTTCAGACGTGGCCCAGTCACGTATCCTGTACTGCAGCCAGTTTCATAACTGCCCACGTGAAGAGCCACAGGCGTAGAAGTTTAAAAAGGCCTTAGGGTAAATAAGGGGGTTTTATCACAAAGACATATCTGTTGGGGTTTTCAGGATCTCCCTGCAGCTCTACCTTCATTTTTTTGTTATGTGAGGGCTCCTTTTTGCAGACAGAGCAAAAACCCGGGGGGTGAGAGCAGGGGGGTGTGCTCGGGGGCTATTGTGGGAGGGCTGGCCCCCTCTCACTGCAGCCGCCCCGTGCTGCGCTCCCTGGGTGAGCTCGCTGCTCAGAAACACCCGTGCTTTGAGTCTGCTTGCGTGCTCAAGCCAGATGCAAACAAACAGTTACGTGGGCTGAACGGAGAGAAATCATAATGACTGAAAACAGAGAGGGAACGAAGCTGCCTCCTCGCTCCCCAGGCTCCCTACTTGTTAAATCCACCGCTCTGCCAAAGCTGTTCGTCATCCCGCGGGCAGAGACGCACAGCGCTGCCAGCTTTGCCCCTGGGATGCAGCGGCACTGAATGCCCTTTGTGGACACCAGGCAAATGTTCCTGTAAAAGGCAAATGGTTATTGCTCTGCTAAGAAATGGCCTCGGAGAGCGAGCGGTCCAGCTGCTCTTGACGCAAGAAGAGGCCAGGGCAAGTCTCAGTGACAGCATGGGAGACTTCAGCTTATTTTGGATGTTTTGGCGTGGCTGCACGGATGTTATTTTGAAGGCAAAGATGGGATTTTTCCTTTCTGGCTGCACTCAGCAGCCTGGTGTATATCTGTGCTTCCATCCAGTTGTACCTGCCCAGGCGAGAGGATGTGTTATAACCCTGTGCCGGCCAAGCCTCTCTGCCACATGCCTCCGTACCTGTGCCCCGAGCAGCTGGGTGGCTCCTGCTGGAGAAGTTTTGCGTTATGGTTGCAATTATGGTTGCAAATCGTGCATTTACCTCTTTTATAAAATTCATGAAGCGGCCACCAAACCTCCAGGCTTTGTGCCGATGGCACTGCAGGGAGTTCACGGTCATCTGAGGGGCACGCTGGTAGCAGACGGAGACCACGTGCACCGCGTCGTACAACAGGGCAGCATCTGTCTAAAGTAAAGGGGGACAGCATTTGTGTTGGTAGTGGTTCCAGAGCAAGGAAGCATTCGGACAGCAGAGCGGCAGGGGATCCCTAACGTGTCGCAGGAGAAGCTGCAAGAACCCCCTCTGAGTTACCCTCTGCCCCACACCGGGCGGACCTGAGGGTTTCTCTGTCCTGGTCCACTGCCGACCATCCCACCTCCCAGGTGTCTGACCCTGCAAACGGTGGGCCCAGGGCAGGGCTGGGCTCTCAAGAGATTCACTGGGATCTCAAGAGATTGCCATAACTGCGTATGCTTTAATGCAAGGCTTGGGCAAACCTCTAGGCTGACCTCTCGTGCAAAACACGTCCTCAAAACACTTAGCTCTGCACATGGCAAAGCCTCACCAGCATGTTTTTCTGTGTAGTAACTCTTTAGACTAAAAGATCACAGTTCTGTCTAAAATCAGAGATTGTGAAAATGTCATTTTTCTGTGTGCATCTATTCTGGTTAGTTCTAGCACATTTACTACTGTATTGTCAAACAAGGAAGCTAACTATTTCTAAATGTAGAAGATAGTAACAGAATTTTCTTATTCAGTCTCTTGTGTTTGAGTGTTTAAAAAACCCACACGTTTATGAGAACATATTATCCACACTATTTTATACATGGGGAGATAAGAAACAGAGAAGTTAAATGGCTTGTCTGTGGGCACGGAACTTTCCAAAATGACCCAAACTGTCACCAAAATCAGAACCTCACAGATTTGTAACGTTTTCCTGCATTTCATGATTTGAACTAGGGAGAACTTTTTTTTTCTTCCATATAATGTGATGGGTTTAGATTCAATTTGAGATGCCCTGTCTCACCTCCAAACACTGATCAAGAGAATTGGATTTATTTTTCACTCCGATATAGTAAGACCTCCTAGTGAAAATACAGTATTTGCTGGCTTCACAAAACAGATGTGAGTGTAGCAGCAGCGTAATGAAACACAATAAAGCAAAATAATACAGCAAATAACCAGGCAAATATCTAGTAGGATGTGGCCATGGAGAAAATTCTCCAACATTGGCAGCCGTCCCTGTGACCTTCCCTTCCCTTCCCTTCCCTTCCCTTCCCTTCCCTTCCCTTCCCTTCCTTTCCCTCTGTACAATTCTTGCACTAGATACAGCCAAAAAAAGTTATTTTAAAGGAAAACGAGTCTGCCCATAACACAATGATTATAAAAGAGCATGTATATTTAGTTTGCTGTCTTTCAAAACATCATTTACCCTCCAAAACTAAAGTACCTCCCAAGCCTAGGTAGTTGCAGGGTTTTGAGCATTTCACTAGAGCTGGAGCTTCTCATAAATTTAGAGCTAAGAAATGTGAAAATTGCTCTGGGCTCGCGTTTACAGCAGCAGGGACAGGTTTTGTAAGTTTGGGGCTGGGGTAAAGGGGTACCAGAATACGTCCAAGCAATTTCATGGTGAATGACATACTGTAATGCCCAGCTGAGATCAGGGCCCTGCTGGGATAGACACCAGACAAATACAAATAAAAGGCAGCATCCCCCTGAAGAAGCAAAGAGGGAATGGGAGAGGAGCCGGCAGCGGGGAGAACCCAGCGCCATTGCAGGCAATACGATGCTGCAGTTGTGCGCAACGCTGCAGAAAAGTAGAAGGCTAAAGGAGAATGGTGGGGCTGTCCTCTAACTGAAAAAAAAGAACAGGAGGGATACGAGGAGCCGTTTCAAGGTGAAAGTCTGGGAGGCTTTGCCACTTGTGGGGTTGGTTCTGGCAGATCTAAAGGGAGAGGGAAGGAGGGAGCCAGTCAGCAATTACGGGGGTTGGAGACAGCCTCGCAGGGAAGACAGATGGGCGAGCAGGTGCTGTACCTTCCGAGCAGTAACTCAGCGGAGCAGAGCTGCCATCAGACCCTAAAAGGAGTCATCAAAACTGCAGCAAAGCCCATCTCTGGGCATAGCTTTGGCTCTTTCTCCCTGCATCAATCTCGGCGAATTGCCTGGCCCAGTCCAGCCGTGTGCTGTGCTCCCAGGGAGCCAGGCGTTCGGCTGCTCTGGGGGACCGCGTGGAGAGACGATGACGGGCGCCCCCCTGTGGAAGAGGCCCTGGCTACCTGGCTCGTCCGGTGGGACGGGAGCATTTCTGCTCCCAGGGCTGGGCGGAGAGACCTGCGAGGCGATCGTCCTGCCCTGAGCTGAAACAGGACTCGTGGAGAGCAACTGAAGAGAGAGGATGCCCTTGCCTGGGTGCTCCGGGGTTTGGGGCGCACACAGCTCATCCCCTTCCAGGTCAGCGAGCACGGAAAAATCCTGCTACGCCTGAACAAGGGGTACAATACCCAGCTGATTGCAGCTCCCTCTCTTCTTGTTCCCAGCATGAAATAGCCAGGGCACTTCCCTGCCATGCTCAGCCCTCTCTGGAACAGAAAGCTTTGAATTTTGCCTGTCCTGGGAAGAGCACAGTCTCTCAAAATTGGCAAATCTGTTGGTAGCTGGGCCTGCAAAGGAGAGCGTTAACACAGCAGTGGGCTGCAGGGGGTTCACCAGCCAACCCACTGCATTTGAGGAAGAGTTAATAAAGAACGCAAGTTAACTGCCTTGGGGAAGATACCTGGGATGAGTTGCTGCTAGTACAAGAACCAACAAAAATAACATTTAGGCTTTAACGAATGTTCCTGCCTTCCCTACTGCTCTGGTCTGCTTCCCAGACTTCACCCACGCTTTGTTTAAACTTCCCATACCATCATCACGCCATTGAGCAGTCCCAGCTCCGCCTTAGGTGCTGACTGCAGCCGCTCCATGGACCACTTCTCGATGATAGAGGACACGTGTGGGTTCTCCACGTTGAGGATCCGGAAGCCGGTCAGGTTCACTCCAGAGTAGCGGTATGGTTCTAGGTCTAATGCATAAAGATCCTTAAAAGAGAGAAACCAGTTTAAACATTTTGTTTAGCTTTGTTTTGTTTGTCTTTTCTGCATCAGTTTGTGTCTGTGTTTGAAGTGAGAAGGCAGAGCCCACAGGAGGTGGGAGGTAGGACGGTGCCCTGAGGAATTCGGTGGATGGTGCTGTCTGTTGCCATCAGTCCCGGCTTGCAGGGACTCGGAGGCGTTGGTGGAATTCGGGTGTCATATGTGCAGGTTCACCCACCCACAGCAGGGGGAAACTCCTGCCGAAGAGCTCACTCTCTGCATGTAAAAGAGGTGAGTGAATTGTGGGGAGAAAAACAGAATCGCTATCTGTAACCATGAAAAAAGAGGCTTGCGACCAAGGGGGAGGGGACCTGGCAAAGACCCCGTATCCGAAGCTCCCTGGGGCCCTTCCATGGAGGATTTGCTGTGAGCACCGAAGCCCACCGGGTGCTGCAGATGACAGAGTAACTCTGAATGCAGAATGCCAATTTGCAGACGGCTATCAAAGAGGAACTAAGACGCATTTCTTGACATTACGACCAGCCTACACAGTCTGCAAATGAATGAGAGTGCCCTTTATACGATTTTAAGAAAACCACAGCCAGGCAGCCCTCAGCTCTGCTGGCAGCCAGCCCACGAGCGTCACTTGGCAGGCAGCGAGAGAGGGGCATTCGGAGCCCTCTGCGAGTGCACTTCTTTAATGCATCTCTTGGCTCCGCCGCACGTCTAAATATTAACTTCAGTTCAGCGATTAACTTCAGTGCTCAGTAACTAGTCTGAGTAGTTTGGGGTAGACAGCATGGCAAGAACGTACCGCAGCTGATCTGGTCAGCAAAACCCCAGGGCAGCTGACCCAAGGGGGATCGTGACCGAACATGGTGAAGAATGGCAGTTGGGAGGGGGCTTCATTAATGGGAGTCATTTGTTGGATGGGACATGTTTAGTCAGAATTTATCCTGAACAATTTCTGCAAGTGTTCTATGGTAGTAAAAATGGGGGGAGGCGGAAAGGCCACAGCACTGTCTTCTGTGATAGAGGCTGGGGGGCTGAATATGGGAACGATGTTCATTGCTCTCACAGGGGATTATAAAAAAGAGTTTAAATACAGCATGAGATTACGTGGCTGTTGCTGTTTTGTATAATGTGGCTGCAGTGGTAGGACACAGCCACGCTGTGGGCTCCCCCAGACACGGCGTCCGTCAGCAGCGAGCTCTGTTCTGCCCACAGGGGAGCTGGAAAAGCACTGGCCCTAAAACACACTGCCCTAAGCAAAGCATAACAAAATCAGCACTTGCCAGCAACCGAGACTTCATTCTCAGTGGGAGAGCAAGGAATTCTTACAGCTGTTTTGCTTTAATAAGCTTTGGGGGTTTGATCTTTTCCTTAAGTGCTGGCCTCTGACTTTGCACCCCAAGGCGTTCTGCTGATGGATGCCCTGTTTTAATCTGCAGGTGCAGCCAGGGACCCAGTCATTAATCACACCCGCAACAGAGTTCAGGGTCTTTGTTGTTTAGGTTTTTTTTTCCCTGAAAAATTGCAAGTACAAACCGCTACGTTTTGTTAAAGGACATTGTGAAAACCAGGCCATAGTGTTGACTTTTAAATGACTTATGGTAACTAAGGGCAAATACAGTTGTTTAGGCTCAGACAGGTGCTTGTATCATCTGGATGTGAGGGTGTGCAGCGGTCCTGTGCCTGACGCACTGGAACAGATTTATTTTTTCAGGATTCATAACTTTTTGTCAGACACTTCGGTTTGTATTCTGGAAATTGTTGTGGAGAAATAATTTTTGGTTGCAAAAGCAGATCATTTCCCCCTCAGAATGTGACCGTATGTGACAAATCTGATCCACCGAGCTCCAGACCTCACGGTCTCCATCGCACAGCCGTCAGGCTGCCAGCCCTGGCCACCTTTCAGATCCTGCCGGTATTTTGGGTGCCCTCCCCATCCTGCTGCTCCCCACTTCATTTCACCAAGTTCCTATAGAAGCCAACCTCCCCTCAGGTCCCTTCTTGGTTCAAATCTCAGCTGCAACCTGATTTATCATCTCATGGAATTGGAGGATAATGAAGAATACAAGGTGAGGGTCAGAACATGGAGAGACATGGGGGGCAATTGCCGTTATCAGTTTCTTCTGGATTTTCTGCTCCTGCACAGCCACAAATTGAAACATCTGGTTCTATTTTCCACCTCATCTACATTCCCTTTCACTCACTTTTTATTTTCTGTACTGCAGATTAATTCTCCCCTCCACCCTACTACTTTTACTGAAGTTTTATTCTCAGTATTTCTCTGTGGCTCTTCCCCTTTCTTACATGCGCTCTCCCGCCTCCCCAGTCAAAATCCCCAGCTTTGGTTCATCAGTCGTAGGCGGCAATGCTGAGGTCTGACCCTCACCACCGCTAGCATCCGCAGTAGGAAGCTGTAAAAGCAGCTGTCCAGGAAGGGCATCCTCCATCTGCTGTTGTGCAAAGCAGCTCGTGGATCACCAGCCTGCCCACGGATTGCCGAGGATCCCTGTCTGGGCCCGGATCTGCTGGGGCGGCTGTCGCTGGGAGCCGTAATGGGAGGCATGTGCATACAGGGTGTTGGAAGAACGAACTGCGATGTGCTCGGTCATGGGTGCACTTGTGTCATGAGCCTTGGGTACACCGAGTTTAACAGGAGTACCTTATTATCAACGCCAGTGGAAAACTGGACTGGTTTGGTTTAGCGCCTAATGGGGAGAAGTCGGGCTGGGTGTGTAGTTTTTGTTTACGTCAACTCAAGGCATGGGAAGAGATTCCTGCTTCTGCCTGTCTGTAACTCGCAGCAGCAGTGACAGCAGGCGGTGGGGAAACGTCTGTATTTGCAAGGACTCATTTTTACAAGCTGCTGAGAAATTCCTAGAAGGGTTGAGTTCAAGGGGGTCGTCACTGCCTGGGACTTTGCAGGATGTAAAAGCTGTGAGTGCATTAGACAAAGGCTCGGAAGAGTTCCTCCTCCTCTGGTAGGAAAGGCTGATGGGGCTCTTCATGCTGAAGTCAGTGAACTGTAGTCTTGCTGCCTAGCAAAATGTCGAAGCATTTCATGCCAAGTGTTGATACACTGTGCTCGGTATTGACTAGGGACCTTTTAGAAACATTCAGTATAACATAATAGACTAATTCATTAGCACCCCATGGGTCTAGTAGCGTAGAAGCTGAAGCACATGCATTGCAAGCTAGGAAAACATTGCCTTAAGGAATGACAGATTAAAATATCTTTCCCATGATATAACTGTTATTTCAGGAAAGTGGCATTAATTGTGATTGCTTATCTATTAATTTATTATAATTCTTCTTTTCCCACCTCCAGGCTGTACCTACACATGAAATGTACTCTAGGCTCAGCTGGGGCTGATTAATAGGAGGTTATCTGGGAAATGCTTAAAGCTGCCTGGAATAGATAATGGCAGCAGGGGTAATTAAAATGTCTTTTGCATTTGAAAAATAAATTTTGCAGTTTTTAAGGGTTAGTTTAGTCTGTTTCTTTCCTGAAGGCAAAAAGATAAATTGGATTTTCAAAATCACACAAAATTAAACAGTATACTAGACAATAGCATCCTAAATGGAAACAAAAGCGGCATGCCAAAAAACCCAAACCAAAATGCCTCCTGGAGTCAGAGAAGAACTGGCCCGTGTTTAATGAGAGTGGAGTTAATTTCAAGCTGAGTTCTTCTCATGCAAAATAAACCTGCAGTACCGAACTATTGACCACAGCAGGGCTGCCCCAGCTCTTAAGGGAGACCTAGATGAACACACAGAAACGCATACCCAGTTCTTACTGAAACTCGGTCCCATCAAATCCTGTCTGTGGGACTACAGCCTCACAAAGTCACGCATATTCTCATCTTTCAGTGCGTGGGTCGCTCCACTGAAATCAAAATGACTGGGAGGGGAAATAAAACCAGAACCTACATCTGTGCAAAGCCGGAGCAGCTCCACAGGGGTGAGCCAGTCCAAAAGCACTGAAAGACAAGACCGATGTCTCTCAGAATGAGCACCCGGGCAAGGCTGCAGTTGCAGAGATGTTCCAACCAAATCATTGTGGTCTGATCCTAACCTGAAGCTAGGTCTAGCCCTGCTCTCACCTTCTGTCAGGGTACCAGACCTCCCTTTCCCTTGCCTTTCCCACCCCACCACTTCGGCGTCCCGCAGCTGCGCAATGCACGCCCAGGACAGGGCACCCAGCCCGCTCTCCTGCCGCTTAAACCACCTCCTCCCTTTCCATACCGGCTCCGCAGTGAGCGTAAAAGGTGTTTGCACAGATTAGATACTTTACCAGAGTAGTGAAGATGAAGTGGTAGTATTCTGTCATCATTCCCATTGCCATGGCCTTGAGGAAAGTAGTGAAAGTAGGTTAGTAAGAGTGGATACAAGAATATAACAACAGTCATGCAACATAAACCTCTACAGAGCTGATCTGGTAAATGTGGCAGGAGACAGAGCCAGAAACACAGAAACTGGATTCCGGATCAGTCCCGTGAAACAGTTAAGCATGTGCTTAGCCAGGAAGAGGCATGTGCTTAAGTGCTGAGCTGAACTGTGGTCCGCAAACCTTTCTGAAACAGGGGCAAAGCCTCAGTGCCCAGCTACCGCAGAGGCCGGTGGCTTTTCTGGGTGTTGCTGTGCCACAGAAAGCCGGGACACTGCGGCACACCGCTGTGCTCACGGGTCACACACAGTGCAAAATCGTCCAGCGCCGCAGGTTTGCTTCTGTCGGCACGGCTGGGCGAAAGGGGGTTGCCTTTCCTGCTCAGATACCAAACAGCGAGCACCCTTACATAAACCCATGCAGAATGACCATAAAGCAGCCTATTCTTATGGTTACAAGTCTGTGTACTGGGTAAGAAGCTAAGTAAAAGGCTTTTTATTTCTTACATGTGTATTTCTGGTGCTGAGCATCCCCTCCCCTTCAATGTCCATTTGTATAACAGGTACATATAGCTCTTGTCCGTGTATCCCTCCTTCCTGCGTACAATAGCCAGATTCTAACACAGGGCCTGGTTTAGAAATGGGTCAGTGAAAGTACGGGGATGGGGAGTGGGAAGATCTCCCATCCCTCAGCCCTTGCAGACCGTGGTCCGGACCCGAGGGCTCTTGGCCAGCCCACGCCGTAGGTCTGCCAGCCCCGACACGAAGGACGGTTCGTGCAGATTGCTGGGATTTGCATAACTGAGCAGTGGAGAGAACAGGCTGTTCCGTGAGGTTTGTCAGAGGATGGCGATGGACGGAAGGGGCCTCGGCTGGGGGGCCCTGAAAAAAGCCCCCACACGACACGGGGGACCGTGTTTCCGTCTACGAGAAAGGTCACCTTGAAGTTGGTGGCTGACTAAAAAGAGATACCCATGGTTTTGACCACGATGCCGAGTGTGAGCATGTTTTCTGGAGAAAACACATGCAAGAGCACTTTAAAATCTCCACCGATGGGAAAGCAACTTCAAGTCCCCCCAGGAAACGTTTGCTTCCCTTGATTTTTGCTAAAATTACTAGGGCAGAATTTAGCTCCGAGGAAGGATGTGACAGTTTGAAAAGAAGCGAGATGTCAAAAAACAAGGGAAAAGGAAAGGATCTAGATTACAAGCCTTGGTATTGTAACTCCAGAGTGTGATTTTATCCCATGTTTCCTGGCCTGGAAATACCTTTTAGAAAGCCTGGCAGCTGTCTCTGTGCGGCAGCGCTCCGTCCTGTCCCCCTCCTCCCTGCCTGGCCAGTGGGGCTGCGGGGCTGCATCTGGCACCCACGGGTGCAAACAGCTGGAGCAGGGAACGATACCTCAGTATCTGAAGCGTCACTTAGATGATGTGAAACCATCGAGAGTAAATCATGAGATTCCAGTTCAGATTCTACAGCGGAATCATTTCAGTGGTAGATGGAAGAGTCCAGACCTGCTGTAAGAAGCAAGCGCCAGCTTCCCAGTACTGGCAGCCTGTGTGCAGGATGCATCTGGGTTTGTGGGGAAATGAATAAATGATAAACCTGGTGGATAAGCTACAGGCAACCGCCAGGGTAAGAACGGGAGTTAAGACAGGCACATCTGTGCACCGCAGAGTGCAGCAACTGTTCAGAGACAGCTGCCAAGGAGAACAGAGAGGCTGGGAAGTCAGAGAACAGATGTAAAGCATTAACAAGTGACCAAAAATGAGCAAGGCCAGAGAAGCTGGGGTAGGATGGGAAGGCCTCACGAGCAAGCCTAGCTCTGTGATGGATTTCTGCAATGATTTGTTTGTCCAAGAGGGTAAAATAACGAATGTTTGATGTCTCAGTCACTCCAAGGAACCCAGATTGGAGCAGTACGCGGCAATGTCATCTCTACATCTTTGTGCCAGCTCTTGTGTTGTTATTCATGGATTACTAGTCCATGGGGTTTTTTTACTACTGCAGTTTCAAAATGCTGCCTAGATTATCAGTGAAGTGCTTTTCTACTTGTGTGCTGTGAGAGCATGTTACCTTAAATAATTTGGGAGCAAGATCTGGATTGGCATGATGGTGTGTGCTTAGTCAGAGCTGTCTTAGCGAACATAGGCTGTAGTTGCTCAAACCATTCTATGTTACCTAAAGATGCACAGTTAAAATCGGTACGAAGCGGTGGAAATTTTAGCACGAGTCTTGAGAGAACCTTTTTGCTATCCATCGGCACTGCACTGGGGCGGGCAGTGCGGCCGAGAGGCTCCAGGGAACTTGCCTGGTCGGAGCAAACACCAGAGACCCGGCGTCTGCAAAGCTACCTGGTGTAGTTACCAAAATGTGACAAAAGGCAACTAATAGCAGTAATATATGAACATTATTGTTCCCGGGGCAAACGGAAGGCTGGGCCATTCTTCCCTGACTTTTTTTGTAGTCCTGTATGTTGGTTCTTCTAACACTGCAAAGCAAAAGCAGACTCCCCTCTTCCAGGAGACGGTTCTGGCTTTACCCAGCTCCTACTTTCGGTGAATGTGCAAAGCAGAGCGTGAGGAGGGCAGTGTGGGGTAGTGCTTGTTTGTCTCTCCCATCCTATGGAAAAGGAAAAAGCTGTTTCACAAGTGAAGGTGGCACCTCTACACATGCATTTCTTGATACGGGTAGAAAAGGTAGGAAAAGATGAGGTTTCTGAGCTTCCTAATTCTTCAGCAAACACAAGTGCCAACAGTGGTAGAGACATGAGGGTCCTGGTACGCAGCGCTGGGAGCCTCCTGTGTGTTACACACCGGAGCGTACAAGTGTGCAGAGGCCAGTCAGGATGTGCCTTGGGTTTGTGCGCCTTCCCAAACTCTGAAAATGTTTAACAGTTTTTCCCTGATGCAAAATACGCTATATAATATTGCTAAGCTGAAATCCATGGCTTTGGGGCCTGAACACCCCCCCAGACGCACACCAAACGAGCCAGAAGGACTTAGAAAGACTTCTTTCCCCCGAGTCCCCCCTCTCCTCCATCTTCCTCACTCTGCACTCACAGCGATGAGCAGAGCAGATGGCACAATAAACTATAATAAACTGCATAATAAGTGAACAGCACCAAACACAGCCAGCATGTTAAAGTAATAGGCAGGAGACAATGAGTCCCTTATATTGCTTTCTTTAATAATCCCTCCCAGGCTTTCTGATTTCTCTGAGCACTTCCCTTCATTTTGCATCAAGCATGCTGCAAGAGAAGTCTCTTTCCATGTGCTTGCTTTCTCAGCCCTTCAGGGGATTTATTTAATCTCTGTGGTAGTGTCTTGCCGGGCTGATAGGAGCAACACTTCCATCGGCTGGTTTTTAGCATTCTTTGTGAGAGCGTTTTCCTCTGCCTCCTATTGACCCTGAAACCTAAGGGCACTTGGAAACGAGGAGGAGCTGGGGTGAGCCTGAATCCTTCTGGTCTGCGAAAAATGCCAGTGGAGGAACTTGGGGAGAAAGGAGAGGGACCACATGAATGGAAAATCACTGACATCTGGCTTGAAGTCCAAGAATTGCACACGGTGCCCGTGAAGGGACAGAGGACGCCGTCCCTCCCCGGCTGGCCCAGTCCTGGCGCGCACACCTCGGAAAAGAGCTAACCCAAACGAAGCGTTTTATACCCGGCCCCTCGGTATGGGCATGCATTCACAAACCTCGGGCATAAAGCAGCACAGAATGGAAAGAAGAGATTTAAAATCGGCAAGCAGGGAAAAGCCCGTG